AATGGCGAGGTTGAGAGATTTCGACGCCAACTGAAAAGCACACTGACGGCACAAACTGATACATCAAAGTGGAGCGACGTTCTACCAGTTGAATTTCGCCCAAGCATCAAGGAGGATATCAGTTGCACATTCGACGAACCAGTCGGAGTTACATCATTAATATTGACAGGACAACTGGTCGACATTGATACACCAGTACCGACTGACCTAACTAGCTTTGCGAGTCATTCATTACAAACAATGCAACGAGTTAGACTAATGCCTCCACATGAGCATAGCCGTCACGTACAGCTCAACAGACACCTGCAAACATGCAAATTTGCCTTTGTTACAGTCGGTGCTGTTAAAAAGCCGTTAAAGCAACCGTACAAAGGATCGTACCGAGTGAATAAATGGACAATTAAACATTTCGTCATTAACAAAGATGGGGAGAAGGAAACATTCTCTACAGATAGAATTAAACCTGCTTTCAAAGAAGATCATGAAGACAAATGAAATACTGTCATAGATAAACAATCTTTGCCATCAATTACTATGAAATCAAAGAATGATGAAAGACCAAGCAATAACCTTACATGTCTAACACGTTTGTGTAGATTGATAAGGAAGCCTGGGCGTTACGTTCATTCTGCGCAATAAAACAAACAAACAAACAATCATTGTTATATATTACACTACTAAGTCCAACTGTTATCTTTTATTTATTTGAACATATAAATATTGGTACAAACGGGCAGCGAATAAATATGCACCACACGAGTCACTTGGTTTTTGTGTGAGCCATGACACTGCTCGGGTGCCCAGACCGACGCGGGGGTTTTCTTAGGGGGCTACACACGGAACCTTCGACCTAAAGGTCTGATCCACAAGGTAGTGGAGCAATGTCAGGAGATGAACTACTCATGGTAGCCGGTGACCAACGATTGGTTCATATGCCATTTGTTCCTTCAGGATTCTGGAGCTCATGTATACCACTGGTCTGGAACCAGGGTTTTCCAACTCCCATATGTGGATCCTTCATAGACACCAACCCGGTCGAGGCGCCGGGCATTCGCTTTTCGTCCTCTCAAGTTCATAAACAAGACCCTTGTCGCGAGAAGGCAGTGAGTAGGACGTCCCTGATAGTGGCTGTATACGCGTGGCCATATGAGAGTATTTCGAGATGGAGAGCTGGCGCTGACCACCCTCGGTCGTATAATGGCATTTGGGGGCAGGTAACTGAGAGCAAGAAACATATATGAGTAGTAGTGTATTCATGAGAGGTAATCAGTGTCATGCTATGAGGAATTCAAAGCGAAAACGGAAAATCCAAGGTCATGCGCTTCTAAACAACTATTTTGTAGACTCATAGTGAATGTGCCAACTATGAGAATTAATGAAAGGAATGCAAATAGTAGCAAAAACTAGCTACAAAATAAGTCTGTCCTAACTATCTTCACAAGATCACTGGTGGTAAATTGATAGTTCATTTCCAGAAGCTCCATATTGCAGGAGACACCTTCCTTCATTACCTCGTTGTTTTTATCGTGAAAATTTTTTAGTTAGTGTAACAGGTTTCTTTGTCTCCCTTCAAAACTAAACGATTAACGACATTAACATGTTCTCAAAATTTTGGATAACTCTAAGAATGAATGTTTTCAGCTAAACGGCTTTTTTGCTGAGACCACTGGTGTGTCCGTGTCTATTTTTATTGCTATTACTGTGATATGCCACAGATTGAATTTATCACAGATCAAGATTTAATGAATACCAAAGTGGTGAAAAATTTACTGGACGAAGTGTAAAGTCAATTGATAATATGTAGATGTACATGTATGTGTGAAAAACTTGGACACTGTTTTTATTGTTAGTTGTAGCGAATCCTATTTGCATGCCTGATCCATAATTATTATGAGCGACAAATAACCCCACATTTGACATATAATCCTAACGAATATATCAGATAAAATCTAGCAATTAGGAATCAAGTGATCTGTAAATGTATATAGTAGTTATGTTGATAGTCTGTCAATGTGACAGCTGATTCCATGAGAACAAGGTGTGCATAAGCAGCATCTTATTTGTGAATAACAATCATTGTGTCTTGCAAGCGGAACTGGAAGGATAACGGAAAAGTCAAAGTTTAATTTAAACAACAATTGAGACCACCTGAAGTGGTAAGGTCTAGAGGATGGCGAAATGTTATAATGTCTTATTCAACAACTTCTGGAATTGCCTAGGTGAGACTTATAATATGTAGGCGTGTGAAAAGTTCAGATATTTTTTTGCCCTTTTAGTTTCAACGTGGCGCGTAACATTTTGTGTAGATTATTCTTGCCCATACATCGACTGTAAAGGACTAGAAAACAAGTTTACCAAGTCAATGTTCGTTTCTGTACCAATCTGCTGTGTAGGTCATAAATTCATAAGTGGTACATCGGATATTGTTCCACTGATAGTCACATTATGGCAAATGTATATCAGTATGTGGTTCTACATATCAGACAGTTATTTGTGAAATCGTAAGAAATTGTTATTACCAAGACGTCGGTCACGATAAAGCTCTAGAAAAATATACCATTGTGTCCCAGGTTTAGAGTTTGTTGTCCCTTGAAATAGGTGGTTATATGTGACTAATTGGTAGCTAATGTCGTTATTTACGAGTCCAGGTTCTTTTATATCACCATTTCCCCAGTAACAACTAAGAACCATATTTCAGTTTTCTTTTCTGTAGAGTAAAATAACGACTTCCTTGATTGTTTATATAGACGATACCATCCGCCAGTGATCGTCGGCCGTTTCGTTTCTCTGTTGTAGATTCCCGAATCTACACAGTGAAAATAGCATTTAGTTGGTTTGTCAAATTTTCTATGATTTCGAGAAATGTTTGAATGACTGGTATCAGAGGGACATCAGGATTCGCTTCCGGACCTACTTCTAGACACTCGATGAGCGAATATTTCGTACACAGACGATTAAGTTGACTGACAAGCATATTTAAAGTTTATTAAAGGTCATGAAGCTACCCTGCTGAAGTTATCTAGAATTGAGGTACTGAATACACATTGGTATTTGGTTAGCGATATCCACAAGCTCATCTATCTCGACATCTTCATCACTGCAGCCTATTATTTTGTGGCAGACTTCTAAGTTATAACTGATAAATTCAACATCTATTAGCTTAGTGATTACTAATATACAAGTCGCGTTTCACTTAAGCTGATATAGCTTGTTGCTACTTAATTGCACGTTGGCTAATGGTCATTCCGTTCACCATTGATCCCATAAAAGATTATTTGGATGACTTATTGTTGCAAGAGTTCAAATTATGAATCAGCGTCAGGCCTAAATATTATTTCAGTAGTCTTTGCGGCGAGACCATAATTTATGGACGAACCAATCAGATATAAGGTAATGAGTCACAAATTTTGGTGCGAAATTCATCCATACATTTGGCTAAATAGTGTTTTGGCATTGTAGCTGATGTCAGTTCGTGATGAAAACCCTAAATCTAGTTTTTAACCCTAACCATCAACTGTAAATGAGGATTTCAACTGCTTCATAACCTTCATTTAGTCCTTATCAGTAGGTGTCCGCTCTCAAGGCCACTTCAGCGTCGCTCTAAGGTCGTCCATAAATTATAGTCTCACCGTCTTTACCGCTTTTCCATCCGATAACACTGAGTTCTCATAGATGGATTCGACCATCTGGTTTGCGGTTTTACATAACGAAAAATCTCTCTAAGAGTTAGAACTATGACCTGAAATCACAAGCTTTGGTAGGAGTTATAGGTAAATAAGGAGCACATATGGGACTTGAATTATGAAAAATAAGATATCAAAGTTCATTGAGATATGTTAAAGACAATAAGTGTAATTCTTATCATACTTTAAGTGCAATTGGGGTGATCTGGATACAAATAAATACTTACCGGATTAGAGTGTTCAGTATAGTTTATATATAGGAATACAACAAAACTTTAATATATGGTACTATATATCTATGCATATATAAGAAACAATAGACCAATCATGGCATTTTATGAATTAATGCCAACAATAATTTAAAGTACATTACCAAATACAATAAGTCAAAAGTGCACATCGATGGTAGGATAACAGGTGTACTATTGGTGTTAACAACAATAAAATCTTTAGCCAATAAGGACTACTTCTTATGTAACATGAGGTTTTATCATTCTTATCATTACTAGTACATCTGCCATCCTACCATCAATTTATACTTTGTATTCACTATTATTTAATTATGTAATTTCCCTCGTTGTTTGTGGTGAGTAATAAACTGTTTTGATTGGTTTATTGTTTTTCATATTTCTATATAAATATTACTGAGTATTAGAGTAACGGCTGATAAAGTTGTTGTCAGGTACTAAACAGTCAGCAACATAAATTTGTTTGAATCTTCCCACTGATGTTTAGGACTGCAATTGATTAGTCTCTTATTGGACTCAGTAGCCAGGTGGATAATGTGATGGTGTTTGAAGTGAACGGTACTAAGTTCGAATCCCAGAGTGAACATCAACTCTGAAATGCAGGTACATCCATAAATTATAGTCTCACCGTCTTTACCGCTTTTCCATCCGATAACACTGAGTTCTCATAGATGGATTCGACCATCTGGTTTGCGGTTTTACATAACGAAAAATCTCTCTAAGAGTTAGAACTATGACCTGAAATCACAAGCTTTGGAAGGAGGTGCAGGAAAATAAATAGCACATCAATAATAGAGAAGGACTTCTTGCTGGCATGAATCTGCAAGCTAAGAAATGCAACCCTAGAAGAATTATTACTGCGAACCTCTTATAGTTTCATAAATTTTGTCCTTGGTATTTACCTGAGTTTCATTGATACTTTGACCATTTATTTTTACGTGTTCAAAGACCACACTTACTTGTCCATCCTTTCATTTCACCCATGGATCTTATTTGAAAACCATCTTTCATTCAAACAGAGACACTAAAATACAAAAAATTAGCAATAACTACTCATGTGAGTTTCAAGATTGACTCCAAGAGGTGGATTTTCAAAATGTTGCGCTACTCATATGTTTGGTTTAATGATGGCCAAACCCTGAAGTTTGGCCATGGTAAGACGTATCTTTCCTCAGTATTTGCGAATTCAGTTTCCATCCGCTCTTCACAATATTGGTTGTTTCGCGCACATAAAGTTTAGTAATATTGGGTATGTATAGCTTTCTGTTCCTTTATTCCTAACCTTTCGTTACCGGGTAAGGCGATTCGCATGACTTATCATTATGATTTTGGCGGAAGGTTAATTTTCACATCTTATGAGGTTATAATTGGCCTTGATAGATAATTTGAGAGTTTGTAGAAGGACAGAACTTTGTGTGCACCCTAGCTGCCAACTTTGGGGAAATTTCGGGGTTTGGGTCTCATTTCCCTAAAATTGGTAGCTTGGGCAGGACTTGCTTTAATGCACATTTCCTTCCAAAGAACTCCATTTCTCTTCAAAATGCTTCTGAAGTTCTCACTACTAAAGAGACGTGAGAAATGTCAACAACCAGAAAAATTGTGGCGACACAAGTTAGAATTACGGTGAGCATGACATCCCGTCGGCTTTGTGTCGTTCGACTCTTAAATCCCATATGTTCTGGGCAGGAAAACAGACGATTTTCAAGTCTTCATTCATACCTTTCGAATGTAACCTCATTGACTTCTCAAACCCAACTGCCTGAACTCTATCATCTCCATGTCTTCTCTCTTCACCTTTTAAGGTAATATGGTGTTCCATTTGTCTTGTGTGAAACAATCAGCTTTTACATATCCCACCCTTCTCATCCGTACTTCAGTTGCTTTGTTCATTGGATATTCTTTTGAGAGTTGCATTCCCTTTTTCGCAGCTATCCTTAACCATTGTTTGTATGTTCGACAGGAGTAATCTCAACCTACATAGCATTAGTACCGTACATGACAACTTGGGACAGACTCGCGGTGTACCGATTCATGTTTTGACATGACTTACCTTGTCACACCTCAATGTTTAAATCTTCCGAGTCTTTTCGAAATTAACGTTTTAGCAATATTTGGGAGCAAAGCGGAGTCCGGTATAAGACAATATGCGTCTAATTCACACTAGACAAAGCCATACATGCTCAGTTTTACTTCTCCTTCTACGTCCAACTTATGCGAAATTTGTCCACACTTCGTAATACTAGTCCTTATATTCACACTGCATACCATTCTCAAGTGTGCAACGATAACCTGAACTTTGACGGATACCTTTTATCAGTATGAATCATCCTCAAAAATGATTTTACTCACAGCAGAAGTATTCATAAAAGCAATGAGAAAACTGTTGTCACTCTCTATGGTACCTTGACTAAGTGAGATTCAACTAAAGCAAGAATGGTTGTGTTTGATGTGTTAGAACGACCAGGATCAACAGGTTTACTTAGTTTGCTGTCACTCTTTTGAAATAGCCCAAGTTTCAGTATTTTGTTTTTCCCCTAAAAAATTTTTACGTATTTCGAGTAATTCAGTGTGATATTGTTTGCATAACTAAGTGTAAAGTTCACTTAGAAAGTCACAATACATGAAATAAAGAAGTCAAGATTTGTGCATCAAAGACAAAAGATTGTGTACTTGTATTAAGCCTATGTTTTACATGCCTTAAATGAGTCAATTCAATCCCAGTCACACACTTTCAATGAGTCTATTTATTTAAGTGATTTAATTAGCTGCTGGATAAGTCCATTTCATGTATTATATACACTCAGCCGCTGTCTATCTTATCATCCAAATGCTTGCTGGCGTAGAAGTGGGTTTGAAGGAAGCTAGTGGTGGACAAAACTAGGTGCTGCATTAGTCACTTACTGTCTGGTTGTGCTAACAGATGGACACTCTAATCTGAGTCCGTGCGATAATCGTTGTCAACCATTGGGAACGAATCACAGCACAGAATTAGTTGTAGAGGAGCAGATACGTCTGTTCTTTAGTTACCCTTGGCTTCTGAGCGTCGATATTATTTCATACTTTTCGTCCTGAAAATATATTTCTTCTGAAACTATATTCTCTATCTCGAGTGATCTTTTTATTTATTTCCTCACTATTACTGATTGTACTACTTTAGTATCCATCCCCCTAATTTCACTCCTCATTATTGAGGGGGATGTGGAAATTTGGTTCGCTGTATATTTGTACTAGATCCTACGTTGTGTATGACTGACTGGTTGTATGTAAAATATCCCATGTGTTGTAATGAATTATACACTCTTGCAAGATCTTAAGGTTCACATCTCAAAAACTGAAAATATTATTACTGAAGTCAAAAGTTCTGGAGATACTTTCTAGATTTTCATTTTGGTGGTTGATGACGAATCAAACCAGTTCTTTGGTTATAGCTTTGACGTTTTATCCCATTATCCCTAATTGAAGAAACTAGGTTTTCAAATGTTTGCTGTATTTTTTAAAATTAAGTTATCCTTTCAAGAAAATCTTAACAAAGTTGGTTAACTCAAAAGATGAGCTAGTACAGTGTTTTTAAGTAGAAATTGTACTATCAGATATTATTATCACACTGATGTCAAACGAGTCAGAATATACTACAATTTATGTTCCATAATGTCTGTGTATATTTGTAAAAATTATTATGTAACTGTTTCGCTAGTCTTCCGAAATTCTATCAAATGAACTCCTTGCTATTAAATACCTTTGTAGCATTTTGAAAGAACCACCTGTTTGTTTATCGAATACATCTATGGTGTTTGGTGATGTTCCTCCTCTACCTACATGTACGGAATCATATGCCTTCCAGGTGGCTGGTCATTCTCGAGAAAATGCAAGTAGTTTCGAAAGTAAGTTGTTTAGTATAAGTAATTGACTGTTACAACAATATTTATAAACTAGTAATCTCTATTGTTAGGTAATGATACCCAGTATATTTCACATAATTCCACAAGATGAATTTTGTGATTTTCGAAGTAACTAGTTGGATGTAAGGGTCGTATGATGTTTTGTTGGTAACGGCCCCCTGAATGCCCTGGTACGGCCGAGAGTGGGGAGAGTCCGCTCTCCCTCTCGAAATACTCTCACACGGCCACGCGTATACAGCCTCTGCCAGGGAAGTCCTACTCATTGCCTTCTCGTGGCGGGGGTGTTGTTTACGAAAATGAGAGGACGAAAAACGAATGTCCGGCGCCTTAACCGGATTCCAAATCAATGGTGCACATGGGCTCCAGTATCCTGCGGGAACAAATGGCGTATGAACCAATCGTTGGTCACCGGCTACCATGGGATTGCATCTCCTTACGATGCTCCACTGCCTTGTGGGTTAGACCTTTGGGTCAAAGGCTCGGGGAGTGGCCCCCTAAGATAACCACCTGCTTCGGTTTGGGCACCCGGGCAGTATCACAGCCCACACACAAATTGATGAACTCTTTATGCCTATGGAAATTACCTTTCTCGCTTTGAAAAACAAACAGTTGATTCAGATTATTATCATTACAATTATTGTCATTATTAATACTATTATTATTATTACTACTATTATTGTCATTATTGTTATTATTATTATTATTATTTTCCACTAACTTCTAGTCTGAGCCATGTTGGTAGATGCAGACTACTTGGTTGGGGTCCGCGTGACTATCGTAACCAATGGTTGGAGACTCTTGACATGGCTCAGAATCGATCACAATGGCGTCGGTGTATACACTCCCTGTCTTCCCTTAAACTAAGAGATTAAAATCGCTTCATATCTTTCTTTCTACGAACCAATTCTTTCTTCTTGTACTATATCTCTATATGCAATCTTTCTCTTACATATTACTACCTTTGACCTAACCACTGCTATGAATCCGGTGTTCATCTTGTTGTGCTGATGCGGTATGGCAACCTGGACCGATGCACATATGTGCCTGGTCCTACGTTGTAGCTGACTGACTGACTGATTTTCCACATTATTCACCCTCTTTCATACTTATACAGCGGCTCGTCTTTGGTGGAAATCCGACTGTATCTAAACGTTCTAGAGTCACTGTCCGGTTGAAAATTGTATGTTACCACCGAATACGAGGACTGAAGCAGTTTTTCTGAAACCACGTGCACCATTCAAACTGGCTGCCTTCAACGTTCGCACACTTATGCAGGTCGGACAACAGATAGGGCTGGCTATGTCTTTGGAAAGTCTTAATATTGATGTTTGTTGTCTATCCGAGACCCGTATTCAAGACTCTGGCGAAGTACTACAAATTCGATCTCCATCTGTCGCTTCGAAAAGCTTGTTTTACGTGCGCTTATCCGGGGACCCTGTGGCATCTTCGTCTGGTCTTGCTGGCGTTGGTGTCGCACTAAGCGCTAGAGCTGAGGCAGCACTAGTCGATTGGATCCCCATTAACAGTCGGTTATGTGCTGTTAGATTAGAAAGTTCCATAAAAGTGAGAAGAAATCGGCGTGAGAAACGATGTCTTTTCGTCATCTCCACCTATGCCCCGACAGATTGCAGCCCGGATGCAATCAAGGATGAATTTTACCACCAGTTATCAGTTCTTCTCCAGAAAGTGCGTTCGACAGATATTGTAGTACTAGCCGGAGACTTGAATACCCAGGTCGGGCGTCTAGGCACAGAAGAGAGTCGTTTAGGTGGCCGATGGGGACTCGTTGGTCGCAGGTCAGATAACGGGGACCGTCTACTGCAACTTTGCACAGACCACAACCTGTTTCTGGCTAGCACTAACTTTCGGCACAGTCATCGCCGATGTGCCACCTGGCGTCCTCCCTCTGCATCTCAAGCCTGGACTCAGATTGATCACATCGCGATCAGCTACTGCTGGCGTGGTTGTGTACAAGACTGCCGCTCCTTTTGGAGTACCTATCTGGACTCTGACCATGCCTTGGTCTGCGCCAATCTTGCCTTACTTTTCAGTGGCCAACGAAGTGACCACCACCAAAAGATTGATGTTAGCAAGCTGGTTGCAACTTCTGTTGCAAGTAAGTATCGAACCGAGCTAGCCTCTAGGCTAGCTACCACTCCACCGAAAAGTATAGATGAGCATTGGTTGCAATTGCATGACGCCATGAAAATGGCGGGAACAGTCAGTTGTGGGTTCGCGAAACGTCCCGCTTTTAAGCACTGGGTTTCTCCAGGTTCCTTACAACTCATTGAAGCCCGTCGGTCTACTCCGGGTGACCGTGAGTTTGACCATAAACGAAGGATGTTACGTAAGGTAATTGGGCAAAGCTTGCGTAAGGACCGAGAAGCCTGGTGGTCGATGCGTGCTAATGAGCTGGAAGCAGCAGCTGCATCTGGTAACTACCGGAAGCTCTTCCAGCTCATCCGAGCCACTGGCAGCAAGAAGTCTGGTGTGAGTGAAACAATCTGCGAGGATGATGGGATGCCAATCACTAACATCCATCGACGTCTTGGACGATGGGCAGAATTTTTCGAAGGGCAGTTCAACTGGCCTGCTGCTCCGGCAACATCGGTCAGACTGTCCTGCCCTCCATGGCCGGTGACGACTGATCCACCAAATGAGGAGGAAGTCCGCAAGGAACTCCAACTCTTGAAGCGTTACAAATCACCTGGCCCAGATGACTTACCTCCGGCTCTTTTTAAAGATGGTGGTGACTTTTTGACTAAGGAATTGACGACGTTGTTTACAAAGGTTTGGGAACTAGAGAGTGTACCAACGTCATGGAATGAGTCGATAGTTGTCCCTATCTTTAAAAAGGGTTCACGTCGTTCCTGTAACAACTATCGGGGGATAAGTTTACTTCCGATTGCGTCCAAGCTATTGGCTTCCGTCATTCTTCGTAGGTTGTTCAAAACCCGAGAAAGATTGACTCGCGAGGAGCAGGCTGGGTTTCGTTCTGGTCGAGGATGTATTGATCATATCTTCACCCTCCGCCAAATGTTAGAACACCGCCATACTTTTCAAAGGCCAACAATCGTAGTGTTTCTTGACATCAGGGCTGTCTTCGATTCGTTGGACAGGACTGTTCTCTGGGATTGTCTATTGAAGAAGGGTGTGCCTGAAAAGTTCGTGTATCTGGGTAGCTGCATAAGTGCTGGTGGGGGTGTGAGTGATGAGATCAATGCACGAATAGTGAAAGCCAGAGCGGCTTATGCCAATCTGGGCCACCTTTGGCGCCTTCGTCATGTCAGTCTGGCTGTAAAAGGCCGGATCTACAACTCGTCGGTGAGGGCAGTTTTGCTCTATGCTTGTGAAACCTGGTCTCTCCGAGTTGAGGACGTTAGACGACTCTCTGTGTTCGATCATCGCTGTCTCCGAAGGATTGCTGACATTCAGTGGCAACACCATGTTAGTAATGCAGAGGTTCGGCATCGTGTGTTCGGGCACAGAGATAATAATTCAATTGGTGTCACCATCTTGAAACACCGGCTTCGGTGGCTTGGACATGTTCTTCGAATGTCGTCCCAGAGAATTCCACGTCGTGCATTATTTGCCGACTCTGGGACTGGTTGGAAGAAGCGGAGAGGTGGTCAGTGCATGACATGGTGTCGTGGTATGAAAGAAAGCTGCAAAGGACTGGCTTGTGTCGGTCCTTCACGACTCCCTGGTTGGGGTCTGAGAGATGGTGCTACACAGTGGCTAGAGACGTTACCAGATATGGCTCAGAATAGAAGCCAGTGACGATCCTGCTGTAACCTTCTTTTACTTTCTTCATAAAAAGTGGTTCTGCCTCCCTTACCTGAAAGATTTCTTCCGATTGTTCCCTGATTACTAGCACATTACCTTACACCAATCTCTTCTTTATTCTTCTCTCTTTTTTTGTTGCGCTCCTTAGTTTTTTTTTCTACTTCTCTTCGAATTCTCATTGTTTTGTGTGGCGCATATATATTGGCGCTCTCTTGTACCAATATTCATGTGTGTGTTGGTAACTGGTTATTTCCTATTTATCCGGTCACATAATTATTTCGCTATACTTTAATTTGTGTAGGGAGGTGACAATTTTCGTTTCATTCTACATTGAGCATGCTTACGTAATTTACAAAAATTGCAGAGTAATTGTGTGTCATAGGAATGGGAATGAAAGAATCGATTGCATGGAGTTTCTGAAACTTACTGATTGCATACAGGTTTCCTCACTGTATGAATCATACCGACAAACGTGGTGACTGCTTAGCCGTTTTAATGAAGTTGACTGTCATGTGATGGATCGCAATTTTGAGTCATACTTTATCTTGTTCGTTTAATTCGTGTGGTAGTATGACTATCGTTCACACAAAGTGTGTTAGAGTGGTGAGTATAAGTACTTGTATTCGCTAAATGATTTGCACCAAGTGAGCGCTAACTCTAATAATCGGTTACACTCGTAATCCTTTAAATGTATTAACAAGTGATTTTGTATTATAAGAGTCCAAGAGTTTATTCATATTAAAGGCAAATAATGTTGCAACATATCCATTATAACGCCCACGTGATTTACTCGAGCTTCTGGACAAAATCATCAATTTACTTCTCCCATCAGTTCTGTACACATGTTTGTCCTCGTCAAGTACTCATTTGTTAACCTTGAACATCTCTTTTATATGCTTGCATATGTACATCTGCTCATATTTATTTGTGATTTAATTAGTTGTTTATCTTCTCGCACCGTCTGTCTTTAAATTAACGAGGAGTCACCTTGATTAGGACTAGCGTTGTTTACCGACTTCATACTTCATTTTCTGGTGCTTTTTTACATGATTGTCTACTTATAATTGAATGTATGAAATAAACATATCCTCATTGAATTTCGTAGTTCGGTTTTTCGATTCAACGTTGTATTAACGCGGTACACTAGAATTTAATTACGAAACCAAATGTTAAATACATAAATGTTTCATCATTCCTCGTCAATCTCATATGTGGTCAATGATGGTCGGTGAAATAACTGCGTTATCTGCTCATTGCTCTTACACAGATATGCTAAGTAATCGTACATATACATTTTTAGTCTGATTAAAGATTTTATAAGCACCGATTTTGACACTAAGTAGTCTCAACCACTCATAACACAAGTGTTCTAATAATAAAACACATCTTCACAGAAATGTAGAAATATTATCTACACTTTTATACTATCAAATTTTAAATTGATGTATCTGATCATGATATTTCAAATGTTTTATATTTGTCTAGTACTTCGAGATAAATCTAAACCAATCATTTACAAGTCATTACAAGATCGTGAAAGAGGTATGCGTGAAGTGATGTTTTACCAAAGTGTGTTTTCTGCGGATGCTTCGGAAGCACTCAAACGTCTTCGTCAATTTATTCCAACTTATTACGGAGTTTTTCAATGCCCAGGAACTAAAGGTAATGATATATTTTTAATGTTAATGTTTGTTTCATGTTCGTACCTCGTAACACCTTATTCAAGTCTTGGCATTTGGACTGGCCACGATAATCTCTATTGATTTTTTAAAACTCCCAGTTACTACCTGACTAGGGTACTTCAGTCGAATCTTCCTAATTAAGAATAAGATCAATATAGATCAGTAGATATTTCAATATACCCAAAATAACAATCTCCACAACCCTATACTACTAAAAATAGCGTAGTTAAACTATTAGGAGTTATGTAGAATTTCCATCACTTTGATTTAGCGATTGGCTCTACTTGGCTAAAATTTGACTAATCAGTGGATCGTCTTGCAGATTATTTTAAAAAGTTTATTATTGACAATGACCACGTTCTGTAATCAAGACACTAAGTGTTATTTTATATATCCATAAAATTTTTATTCTTGAAATGTGAAATATTAAATTTATTTCCGTCTATTCACTACTCAGATACTATTCATGCATGGTATTTCATAAGAATATATATATTATGGTAAAAATGAATGACAAGAAACGACAAACTGTTAACTATTTTTTGAAATATCAACATGCTAAATTTCTAGTGTGTAATCAAATAACATTTAGCCTATGTGAATTTTTACATTAAAGATATAGAGTTTAATACGACTGTCTTCTTCTCACTTTCATATTAAGTTCTTGAAAAAACAGGTTCTGTGTAGCTAACCAAAGGTGAATCAATCATAGTCGACCTCACGCACAACACAGTTCACAAGGTTATATCATTTAACATACCGTACCAAGGATATTACAAGTAGCGAGTCAAGTCCATAGCATATCTTAAATTGTTACCAGTGGACAGAGAATTTTATTACAATGATTTAATTTATTGATTGGTTCTCTTTTTCCTATAATTATTTGTCACAGCTTACTATATGGCTTTAACTGATCTGGTGGCCGATTTCAAACAACCAAATATATGTGATTTCAAAATGGGTACGGTCACTTATTTTCCAGGTTCTTCACCAGATAAAATCTCCCGTGAACAGGTTAAATATATGTGGCGTCGTAAACTAGGCTTTGTTTTATCTGGTATGCAGGTAAGTTGTGTGTCGTTTTAATGACTTTTCAAGTATAATTTACACTTGAAGACTGTCTGTTTGATAGATTATGAGACCAAACATTTCGTTAGTTTGATGTGTGTTAGTGAGGTGGATAAAGAAGTGGTTCTTATTTTGACATCGTAAGTAAGCTTCACCGATACTCATTAAACATTAAAATTCGATTTATTTGGAAGTACTCAGGATGTCACAGATTAAATTATATATTACTCAGCTAGGTCTTTGTTTAATCTGTTCACTGGGTTCTACTTCATGACTGGTTTTTAGAACTAGGAGATATTAATAGGTTACTGGTAGATCCCTTTAAATAGTCGCTCATATATGTTGGACAGTTGAGTGAACAGTATTGGAATTGGGTCTTAGATACTTGACAATAATAGCAAATCCATTGTGGATCTTCGTCGACCAAGTCTCTTAAGATATTTTTTGTGTTATATCCAAGGATCGTCAGCTATCTGGACTTGCATAGGTAGGTAAAGTAAGAATAGATTAGAGGAAAACTTTGAGGGACTAAACCAAAACATGACATCAGTCAATGACGTTATCGACAGTTGAAGTGAGCCATGTTTGTATGCTCAGACTACTAGGTTGAGTTCTCTATGCTATTATCATAACCAGTGGTTGGAGACGTTAAGTGACATGACACATACATTCACCTTTTGTCTACCCTTAAATCTTGAGTTTTAGAATTATTTTATTTCGAAAATTTATCCCTCTCTAATTATATCTACTACATCTAGTATTCTGTCTTCGTTTGCACTGATATTTTCATTTTGTTATCCTCATATTTTGTGACAACTTGAATCAGTATATGCGTTTGCAAAGTTCTATGTTGCTTATGATTGCCTGACATGTGACATTTTTATAAACCTTTATCATAGACTAAGTTTACTAAACAATAGCATGCTTTCTTTCACTGTGTACATTCTGTATATATGATTCTTATAATTAAACTGACAATTACTTTGTTTTATAGTGTAGTTCCTCAGTTTATTGTAGCTTATAGTGTCTGACAAGATCTCTGCACGGATTCTAGAAGCTCGTTTGGCTTTCGCCAACCTACGTCACCTATGGCGAAGCCAAGATACCCGTCTATCAATTAAGAGACGAGTATACTGCGTATCAGTTCGTTCTGTTCTACTTTACGGCGGCGAAACATGGCCATTAAGAGTAGAAGACACTCGTAAGCTACTAGTATTCGACCACAGATGCCTTAGAAATATTGCTCGCATCTGCTGGGATCACCGGGTAAGTAATAGTGAGGTTAGACGTATGGTATTAGGGAATGATGGTCAGTTGATGAGGTTATGAATCTGCATCGACTGAGATGGTTGGGCCATGTGTTACATATACCTGAACTCCGATTGCCACGACGCACAATGCTAACCGGGTATGGTTGGGAGAAAGTTAGGGTCGGCCAAACCAAAACGCGGTATCAGTGCTTGAAGACACTAACTTCCAGTCTAAGCCATGTCGGTAGATGCAGACTACTTGGTTGGGGTCCGTGTGACTATCGTAACCAATGGTTGGAGACTCTTTGTGACATGGCTCAGAATCGATCACAATGGCGTAGGTGTATACACTCTCTATCTTCCCTTAAACTAAGAGATTAAAATCGCTTCATATCTTTCTACTAACTAATTCTTTCTTTCTGCACTATATCCTTACATAAAATCTTCCTTTATATATATTACACCATTGAGTTAACTGCTTCTATGAATCCGGTGTTCGTCTTGTTGTGCTAATGAAGTATGGCAAGTTCGATGCGCCGTGTCCTACGTTGTAACTGACTGACTATTGTAGCTTATTGATAGTATCCAGAAGAAATAATTACCAGCTAGAACTTGAAGGCTTGACAGTTGAATCGCAGTTACTATACAGTAAATTGATTAATGTAATCTATATTATTATTCTTTTCTTCTAAAAAAAAATACATTCTATTTTACAGATATCTGATACAAAAAATCATTGTTTAATTAAGTTTCCTAAAGCATTTGGACGTACTTTATCTCCAGAACAAGTTTATTCAATTGGTTAGTCGTTATTATTCGTGCTAATCTTGTCATAATACTGACTGTTAAATACTTGGTATCTATCATTCTCTCTATTCATTTAAAATAATCAGTAAAGATGTAATTATACATGACATAATTTCATTATATGAACAAAATGAGTCACACTGCAAATTATGAAGATACAAAAGAAGAAAGATAGGAAAGTAATTAAGAGTAATAACAATGAAGAAAATCGCTCTTACGAAAAGTTTCTTCTTATCTTCAAGGAACATGCGGATGCCAACGGTACTTAGAGAAGTCTTCTTAAAAGGCTATTTAGTAGGTTGAAGAATATGAATCGAATCTGATACACTACTCCTACAAAGACAATAACTTTTATCCGTTTCGATTATCGGGTTCCCCTTCTGTCGTTGTTTTCTCGTAATCAAGATATTTGCAACAGACAATCGTCCATAACACTTTGTTCGGCACCCGCGATAATTATTGAAAAGGCAGAGTTTGTTCCAAGGGGAAACTAAATAGTTCTATTAGTAACCATATCACTTGAAACCAGAATAAAGCTTTTGGTTTCTTTTGTCTGCTCAGTACCTTGGGACTGGATTGAGAGTCATTTTGGCATATGTCAGAAGTTTATTTGTGATTTGCTAAAAGTGATCTAAACGATTGAGATAGTTTATACTTCAAATAAATATTTTTAATGGTTTTGCATTCTCTGAGCAATATCGTTGGGATGATTTTGTCCCGTACGGCATTATGGAATATTCACGATTTAATTATTATTGAGTATAGAGAACATAAGACCTCGTAGAAATAGATCTATGGTTCTTAGTCTTATGCAGGTGATAAATATCTGCTCAAATAGTAAAATCAACATTTTAGATAGATTGAAATAGAAAATCAGTTTGCCATTTGATTGGCCAAGCTATTCACATATTGGACCAATCGTATGTTGGGGTGATCCAGAAAACTCGCAAAAGACAAGAAAGGCTCAGGAAACACTAAGAGGCATTTCATCCAATCAGCGTTCACTTGAAGTTTTAGCCAGAAACATCAAGAAAGTGAAAAGTCACATGTAGATTTTCTGATTGGCTGATTTCTATACAGCTACTATGTTTAGTAGCATTCCAGAATCTTCGGGGAACCTAAGGACATCTAAAATACTATAAAAACCCTATATTTTCTGTACTAGAACGAACCTTTGGAGTCAAGTGCTTCTCGCGTATTTTGCACCTTTTCTCTCGTGTTCAGGTCGCTGTGTAGTTCTAGCTTGAGGGTTGCGAGAATAGCTTAGGAATCGAATATAGTGTTCAATTAGTAAGACTTATCGGAGGATAACTCGAGATTCTTTCCCAACTCAGTTACAGTGTATCAGTCAATTACTGAATAACACCATGCATCCCAAATGGTATTCTTTATATACTTACTTTACTTAAACAATATCTGGTGTCCATCTATGGAGAGTACTTACCTTCCTTATTATGTTGGCTGTATTCGTCTCAGATGTATTTCGCTTGCGGGTTACAATGAAAACTAGGAATCACTGGACAGCTGTTTCACCCTAATATGAGGATTTCTCAGCAGCACGCACCCAATGATTTAGTCAGGGATCCTGCACAGCTTTTGAAGTTTTACAGAGAACACTTAATCATTTTTATTATGTATTGAAACTTTTTGGTTCTGTAAGACGACTGCTGCAGTAAAGATCAATAAATCTTCGTCGACTATTTAGATTCGACATTAGGTACTTGCAAGACATTCTAGAATATATGCCTCAATTAAATTAAGGATTTTTCTTTATCAATCTAAACATTAGTGTAATTTTAAGTGAAAATTACAGATGAACCAACCATAGTATTTAACAGGATGAAAGTGTTGACATCAAAGAGCCTGACAATAATTTTGTTACATAAAAGTTGTTTTAACTCATTTATCAAACATAGATTAATGTACTCAGCTTTAAGGTAAAGATTGCTTGTACTACTATTTGAGCATTGAACTAGACGGTACCGTCTTCAAACACTACTACTCAATCTAATGGTTTCAAGTTGTTTACGTGTAATTTAGTGTTTTTTTGTGTGTGTATTAATTCACGTCGTTATTTTTCTGCATTTCACAGGTATAAAATCATTTCTAGGTGCAGATCCTACCTATTGTGTTAAACTTGCTCAAAATTATATCATACAACTTGGTCGTATTTTAAATTGGTATGTCGAATATGGTGCGAAAGAGCTCACATTCTGTCGTTCTTCAATTTTATTGATTCATGAGTCATTACCAAGTAGTAATAATAATAATGAACATTGTCCTTCCAAATCATGTTTTGCATCATCATCAACACCCAGCACCACCGTCATTAACAATAACAACAACAACACATATCATACTTCATGTACAACAAGAAATCCAACTGTGAAAACTTCAACAATATTGAATAATCAATTCGTCAATAACTTTAATAATATTCCTTCTATTCATAAAATCAATACTAATAACGGTAATAACAATGATACTCCTAATACTACTACTACTACTACTACTAGTAGTAGTAGTAGTAGTACTTCGACCGTACATGCTCAAGTTTATTTAATTGATTTTGCACATTGGTCTAAGAAAAATTACTCTACTCAATGTAATAATAATAATATTGAATATAATAAAAATTATTGGACATGTGAATTAACTAATGGTTTTCGTTATGGATTAGAAAATTTAATTCAATTAATGCATTGTGTTGTCAATAAAGAAAGTGCAATTTGTATAAATTAATAAATAAATAATTATTTATTAACTTTCATTATGTATCAATATATATACCTACTTACTTACTTACTTACTTAGCATCTCTATGCTAATGTGGTATGGCAACTTGAACTGATGTACGTACGTATGTACGAAGTTCTACGTTGTTACTAACTGACTTAATTACGCCTGTTACTCCCTATGGAGCATAGGATCAATCATATATATATACTAATAGTTTATTAATTAGTCTTAGTTGATACTTTTTTTATTGAAATCAATAACATACTACTGATATATGTACACAATAATCTCTCACTAATGAAGAGTTGAACACTGTCGTTCATTAACATATCTACAGCCGCACACACACACAAACAAACACTTTCCAAAATCCACTATTGTTATATACTTTTTTTTTCTGCTACGATTAATCATATTATTATCATTATTATTACTCATATATTACATTGTATGTATATTACAAAGAGAAAATGGTTTCTGCATTTGGAATATTTCGATCTATCCCTCACTTTCTGTGTCTTTCCCCTTTTCTCTTTAATGTATCCGAAAATGACTTCAATATTGATATCCAGTATGTATTTATTTGTTTACTATCCGTTTCATATTAATCAATATTGTTCATTTGTTTTTTTGTCATGTTTGCTTATTCATAATTAATCAACAACAACAAAAAAAAGTTATTTATTTTATTCTTTATGCCGTTTTTCTTCTTGTTGTTGTTGTTGTTGTTGTCGGTGGTAGTGGTGGTAGTCAAAATAGGTCACTTTATACATTATTTGTTGTTGATTAGTTAGACGGGTTGTAGATTTCAATTCCAGTCGAGATAATTGATTAGTATGATTAATTTTAACACAATTTAGATATGGTTCTCAAGTTTACTTTATACTGTTTAAATAGAGCTTAGCATATATGTTCATTAGTTTAAATGATCAAATCAGATTAGCATAATAAGATGAATTTATAAAGATGACTAGTAAACTAGGTCGAGATGATGATAGTAGTAATGATCATGAGAAAGATGGAATATTAACAGCATAGTTCAGAAAGACAATGAAATATATTACTTATGCCTGTTAGTCCTCGTGGAGGAGCATAGGCTGCCGATCAGCACTCTCCATCTAACCCTATCCTGGACAGTCCTTCCCAGTTGTTATTTATGCATTTGATATTTGCTTTTATTTCCTGACGTACTGTGTTATTTGACCTTCTTTTCTGCTTCCCTTTATGATTTCAAGTTAGCGCTTGCCTCATGATGCAGTTTGGTAATTTCCGTGAAATATGTATGTTTAGAGATGAGAGGATTCTAGAATTCAAAATCAAGTTGATGATAAAGAATCAATTACTCTACCCCTCTGTACTTGATTCTTAGGTACATCACACGATATCTTCAATTTTAATCAATTAAACTACTTACGTAATCTATTAGTGTGCCTTAGGATTGCCGTTATTAATAAATAAGTCTTTATGAACTTTTCTTACTTTCTACTTCTAATCGATTGACATATTTAATAGTTATGTAAAGTTTTATGACTAGGATTAAGTTATAAAACTCATGACAAATAAATCACTATTGGGAAAGTGAACAGTTTTATCGACACCAACCAATTTTTTGGTTTTCATTGACATGGATTGCTAACATTGCCTGTCTACATAATTGTCGGGGATGTTAGATCCCCAGAAGTTACTTCGTAAATGTCTTATTTTTGGAGATTTGAATTTCTTGTCTTCGTGCCAAAAGCACCCATTTTCACCTTCATGTCGTACTTCCCACTTGGAAGGACTTTAAATACTATTGGTTCGTTGTCTCTCTTAATATGCTATTTTGTAACGTTTCCCAAAGACATTTTTATGCTGTATATATACACTAGAGTTGTGGTTGTTCCTATTCGTGCTTCTGGCTACTTGTGGAATATATTCCCCTCTTCCAAACTTGAATTTCTCTCTCTCTGGTTAGCGGGGTTGGGATTCATCGGAATAGTTAGTTGATTTGGTCATTGTGTCAGTGAGTCTTCGTTCCGTTCGCAGATTAGGTGAACTCGTAATCTCTTCAAAACATAGCAGTAATATTTACGTTTTGAAAGAAATCACTCTCAAAATTTCTACCGGTACCAGCTGGGAAAATGGATATTTTGATAATCATACCGAATTCTTAAATGCCTTGGATTCTGTTGAATCAGGCGCTATGAAATTATCATCTTCAATTGCCAGTTCTCAAGAACATACTAAAGAATTCTGTCAATATTTATGTTTATTTCTCTAACGTCGTTGTTTGTAGTTCGAATAAATTTTTTGCCTTCTCATTACCTGGGGATTAGGTCAAGAGTCATTGGTGAAACATAGTACAATTTGATTTAAAGAGTATTTTGTCGAAATATTTCGATTTGCATAATTGGATGTGGGTTATAACAAATTGCTTAGTAGTAACTGATTTCCTGTTCTCTAATTCTTGTTAATACAGTAACTAAGCTAAATGACTTCAGGTTGCGATAAACAAATATAATTTCCAGGAACCTCTGAAATCTCGAAAGAGGCGATAGTCCTCATGAAATCATAAATCTGATCGGATATATGAATTACATAATCGGACTAATATAGAACAGGATTCACACAAAATAACTATACGAATTAATTTAGAAGAATAGAAAAGTATTGAATTAAAATGAATGAAGATTCAATCCAGCAACTAATTGTCATTGGATTGGTTCAGTTGTAGGATAAACTATTCCAAACTCAACGACCAACAGTTTTGCATAGTGATTTTCATTTTAAGCTATTTCTTGTCAGTAATAATGACAGTTAGTGTGTAGAAATCAGAGGATGATAACGTGGGGTAATGACCTTGTGGAATAAAGCGGTTATTACTGGACTTACTTTTCAGGTATAGGGTAAGCATAGTCTAACATTTATATGGCTTAGTAAGAGATAATGTACGGGGAGGAAGTATAGTAATACTTTTGTTGTTCAGTCTAGTCTTTTCCTTATTAGTATATCAATTTACTTCAACATACCGGAATTGATATACTTTCAATCTCATTGAAAGATTTTAGTAATTAAATGATATAACAAACATTAGAGAGGAGTTGTCATTTAAGTCAATAAAATGAGATGGTTCTTTCACTTTCAAACTATTTTGACTAATAAATGTGCAATGAATAAAGTTAGACATTAACCGAGTTAAATCTCAACTCAGTGATCTAAAGATTATGCATTCACTAGCAAGACCGAAAATCCTGCATTCATTTCTTGTAGGTACATTGTCAAGGAGTCTCATAATAAGACGAACGAACCCTCCAATACTCCTAGGTTTCCAATGATAGTCTCAGTCAGTCACACCTGGTTATGGCAATACTTTTAAGTGATGATACTACTGAAATCATCGTATATATATTTAGGTTACCTTCCTGTATATCTAAAACATACCACTGTTTCATAATTTGTTAAATTTAAAAGTCAAATATACTTTATCTTTAAAATAAACATTACACTCAAGTTGGTACAGCCATTTATTGTTTTGGATTTTCGTTATATGAATAAAAGTGTTGTTTTGATAGCCAAGAACAATACAAAAGATTTTGAGATGATAGAGAAGATTTATAGCTCAGGTGAATGATTTTGGTGGAATTTTATTCTTTGAGCTGGATGGTTTGGTCGTGAAGCTTTTATAGTTCTTCTGAACAACATCATCAGCGCAAACTTCAGGTAAAAATGAAGTGTTCGAATTTTTCCAAATATGGTTCACAGCTTATCCCGTACACCTCGATGTTGATGTCGTTCAGAAGAACGATGAAAGCTCCACGACCAAATTATCCAGCTCAGAGAATAAAACTTCACCAAAATACAAAAGATGTACTTTATCAATAATTTATTTTAACCTTCAAAGAGATTATAATCATTTTAGTTCAGTATAATATTATCAGTGTTTAAACTTGTATAACATAGGTACATACATGTTCTCGTTTTTTTCTGGTTAGCGTTTTTTTAACGGTGCAGTTGGACGATCTGGACTTCGCAGATGATCTGGCCCTTCTATCCCAAACGCAACAACAAATGCAGGAGAAGACGAACAGTGTGGCAGCAGCCTCAGCAGCAGTAGGTCTCAATATACACAAAGGGAAAAGCAGGATTCTCCGATACAACACAGAATGCACCAATCCAATCACAATTGACGGGGAAGATTTGGAAGATGTAAAAACCTTTACATATTTGGGCAGCATCATTGATGAACAGGGTGGATCTGATGCAGATGTGAAGGCGCGGATCGGCAAAGCAAGAGCAGCATATTTACAACTGAAGAACATCTGGAACTCAAAACAACTGTCTATCAACCTACACCAAGGTCAGGATTTTCAATACAAATGTCTAGACAGTTCTACTGTATGAGGCAGAAACCTGGAGAACTACGAAAGCGATCATCCAGAAGATACAGGTGTTTATTAACAGTTGTCTACGCAAAATACTTCAGATCCGTTGGCCGGACACTATTAGCAACAATGTACTTGGGAGAGAACAAACCAGATCTCAGCGGAGGAAGAAATCAGGAAGAAGCGCTGGAAGTGGATAGGACGCACATTAAGGAAAGCACCCAACTGCGTCACAAGACAAGCCCTCACATGGACTCCTCAAAGCCAAAGGAGAAGAGGAAGACCATAGAACACATTACGCTGAGAAATGGAAATAGACATGAGAAAAATGAACAAGAATTGGATGGAACTAGAAAAGTAGGCCCAGGACAGAGTGGGTTGAAGAATGCTGGTCGGCGGCCTATGCTCCATTGGGAGTAACAAGCGTAAGTAAGTAAGTAAGTAAGTAACATACATGTTCTCATTAACTATTCAATGAAGTTAATTGTTAAACAATGGATGAACTTGTGACCATGTAATGATTAAATTTCCAATATTTCATTAATATATGCTGGTAATTCATTTATTAATTATGATGATTGTAATACAAATACAATTCAACCGTTAATGTGCTTTTATTTTATTTAAATTAATAAGTTGTGACCAGTGGAATACAATTCGTGTCAGGTGGAGACAGGTTATCCAATTCAGACAGTGCATGTAGGGTTGTGCAATATCATGGATCAATTGAAGTTAAACATTAACACTGTTGAATTCCAGCTCAGTAGTCTAGAGGTTAAGCGTTCGAGTGTGAGACTGAAGATCTTAGGTCCGAGTGTCTCATGAGGGATCATAAATCCACACTACTGAGAAGTCCCATATTAGGAAGAAACAGCCATCCAATGCATCCGGCTTTCAATAGTGGTCTAACTTAGATTGACTCATAAATTCAACTATTAAAATTACTACAATCTCTGCTAATCTCCTTTCTGATAGAGCAAATAATGGAGCATTTAAGTCGACGAAATAACGACAGCTTTATAATCTAATTAAGCACTAAAAAGTTGAGTTGTTTTTTCGGTTGATTCATCACATTACTTTTCGCCTGTTCCATTATTATTATTTTTTGTTTTGTTTTCGAACTAACATTGAACAATAATATGTGCTAATCTAACTTTGTTACATATAATCCGAATGGAATTCATTCAGTATGCAGAAAATGGACGTACTACTGATCGGTTGATTATTATTTTTTCCTAAATCATGGAAAATCAATCATTGAATGGTTCCACAGTATGATAAGTAATTAAATCGCTTAATTAAAAGCATAGCCTTATTGCTCAGTTTGGCAG